GGAAGCTTAGTGCTGTCCATGGGGATAAGGAACCACAGCATGGCATTTCCTGTGCCATGTCTTAGAAATGCTCTTGGCATTATCTGACATCACAGATGTGATGTGACTTAAGTGAGACCAACACCAAGCACATGAGGATCGATAGACAAGCAGCAACTGCTGCAAACCAAAAGCTGCTTGGCAAAGTTTGGCTGTGATCAGGAATCAGCAGAGTGGGTGCTGGTGCTGAGGAAAGGTGCCTCATGCCTGAACAGCTGGAGGGTGTGAGAACCCTGTGGAAAAGCACATTTGGGTGCCCTGGTTGGTCTGGGACACAACATGTGCAAGACAATTCACAGAATCACTGGTTTGGGTTGGAAGGAGCCTTAAAGCTCATCTAGCGTTAAGCAACGGCTGCCCACTTCTCTGCCTCCTGCTGGTACCTCAGAGACATTACTCACGTAAGCACCTCATTTAGCACAAACTCCATTTATTCAGAGGAAAGATGCAGCAGCAAAGCCCCCGGATGCTTATGGCTCACACTTTTCAGGCAGGCACCCCCTTCCATTGGGAGATTTCTGAAGGCCAGCCATGTTTTAGGGTTTGGGCTCAGGCTGCCAAACTGGGGACAGGAATTCAGAGGTCAAGGCTGACATTTTATGCTGCTAAACATTACCCCACAGTACCATAGCTTCCATACTAGCACAAGCCTGCATGCAGCTTGCTGCAGCCAAACCCTCGTGCCGCTGGCCAGGCTATGGCTTTGTGGGTTCCTTGGGGGCAGGATGGCTGTTCAGCGCCTGAGGGTGCCTGCTCGCAGTGGGCACAGGCAGGATGATGGGAGGGGAACAGGGCCCTCGCTCAGGCCAGCACAGGTCCACAATGGGGTAGAGCTGCCCCTGGAACTCTGCCTGGAAGGTGTAGATGGGGCTGAGCTCATCAGGGTTGTCAGCATTGTAGAAGCTCAGCTCACCCTTCTCGTAGTGCAGGTAGATGCCAATGCGCTGGGGCCGGGTGGTCAGAGGCAGGGTAGCCCGTGGCATGCTAAAGGCCTCATAGACCTTCCCTTCCTTCAGACCAATGAGCCACACGCCATTCTCAGGACACTTGCTCAGCTTCCCTTTGCGGCTGACCGTGCCCTTGATGATGCCCACACGCCAGTGGTTCCTGGCGCCCACAATCACCTCCCAGTAGTGCTGGCCACAGGAGAAGCCCTTGCAGGTGAGGATGCAATTGCTGGAGTCAAAACGCTTGGGGTTGCTGTCCCGGTGCTGGTAGAGGCCACACCGCACCATCGTGTCGCCCTTGAAGAGCTCCAGGAGAGGATGTGCTGTCACTGGGTCCAGTTTCAGCGTCTCTGGAGCTGTAAGGAAGGCATGTGGGATTCAGGCAACCCAGAAGGCACGGGTCTGGTGGAGCACTGGCACAAGCTGGCACTGAACTGGAAGCAGCTGGAGCATTATGCCAAGACAGGCTGCTATCGGCATGAGACATGACCAGCCACTGCTCCAGGAGTTCTCCTGAGGCAAGGAGCACGCAAGCAGTGGGCAAGACAGGCTGGGGCAGTGTGATGGTTGCTGGTCAGCCTGTCCCACACACCAGCGAGCCTGGGCACTCAGTGTGCTGCCAGGGGGGCAGGGGGTACCTGGTAGGACACGGCGGTGCAGGCGCTTCCACACAGTCATCTTGATGTCATCCTGGTGGAAGCATGGCTTAAAGGACACGGGGCTAAAGACACCATCACAAGGGTGCAGGCTGAGGAGCTCTGACCTGGAAAGACAAGAGCAGCCATGACACAGTGACAGGACAGTGTGTGACCTCCTCTCACCTGGCTGCGGTCTGTGAGAGAGCCACTGGTGTCTCGCCAGCTGCTCTTGCCCTGCGTGGATCTGGCTGTGACTGTCCATCACAACAGCAGTGTCCACGCAAGGCTGCCCCAGAATTGCTGAGATGCTCACTGGCCTGGGACCACTAGCCCTGGTGTGGAGCCTGCCATCCCCTTTGGTGCTGTTTGGTCCCATCACTCACCTGAACTGGGAGGAGCTGTATTTCTGGAAAACATAAAAGAAAGAGAATTGTTGGTGGACAGAACAGCAGATCTTCTGCATGGTCACAGCTGCGCAAGCCTCTGCCCTGGGCTGGAGAGGCCAGGGCTTTCCTCCTGTGGGAGAGCTACAGGCATTGCTTCTTGTGGAGGGCAGGTTTCTCCCACCAGGGGAAGGCCTGGCTGGACAGAGAGCACCTCCATCTCATTTCTGGTACTGTCTCAGCAATGTTTGGTGAGGGTACCCACTGCCCAGGGCAGAGGGCTGAAAGCTGGAGAGCTCAGCAGACTCTCACCACCTTCACTAGCAAGTGCACTCACCTGGATGAAACCAAGCTGACTTTCATTGCTGAGTGCCTCCAGAGAGCTCTGCATCTCCTTAAGCCTCTGCAGGGCATCTGATGTCTGCTTGACCTGGGACTCAATAGAGGTGATGAGCTGTGTTGCCTTCCTCTCAATGCTCTCCAGGAAAGTGGCCTTCTCCTCGTCAATGTACCTGTGCAGCTCCTGGAACTCCTTCCGGATCACCCACTTGAAGACATCTGCCTCGTTCTGCAGGGAGACAGCAAGCAGCAGTGCAGGGCAGCCTCGCTCCATCCCCTTCACCTGCTTTTGAGTTTCAGAGGTGCTGCCAGCAATGTCAGCGTGTCCCATCAAGCTGCCCTCCGCTGTCTTTCCAAATAAAGAGCAGCTCTGTTCACTGTCCTCAGCAGCTCACCACCACAGCCCCCCTGCCTTACACCTCTCCTCTGAATCTCCCAGATTTTGATTTCCTGATGTCCCAGCCAGCCTCGTCAGAGCCTTGAAGGAGTTCCTGGATCCCTCTGCTCCCAGGGAGCTCCCTGTGTCCTGGGCTAAGGGAGAGAAAATGCAGCTCTATTTCCATTTGGGTTCCGCCCTTCTGAGGAGCCCCAATGGGAAGCTTTAGCCTCTGAAGGGATGCCAGGAGGTCCCTTGGAGACAACTACTGCATGGGAAATTGATGTGACACTAAACCAGGCAGGAACTCAATGTGAAACCAGCCCATTGCTCTGACTAGGAAGCCTGCTCCAAGCAGGGTCCTTTTGACCTGTTTATCTTCCCACCTCCAAGGACACTCAGTCAAACCAGCCTTCACCACTGCTCTGCTGGGATGTGCAGTGAGGGTAATATCACCCCTTCTGGAGACAGGGCTGTGCTACCAGAGAGGGCTACATCACGCTTCCCGAAAACAGGTCTGCGGTTAATCCCCGAGTTTTGTGAGAAACGGCAGGGAATGGGGTGGAAGATAAGCCCTGTCTGCTATTCCAGGGAAGGGCAAAGGGAACGAGTAGAGGAGGCAAACTGGGAGCAACCAGGAGCAGAGGCTGCTCCAGGGGCTGTGTGGGACACAAAGACTCAGGGACATGGGCTCCCCTGACACATGGCACTCACTGCAATGCGGCTTTTGTTGTTGATGAGCTTGCTGATGTGTTCATCCAGGTTCCTCTTGTACTGGTGGAGATTGGTCAGCAGCACAGACAGCTCCTCCTGAAAAGACAGCACCTCTGTAGGAGTGACCTCGGTGGCAGCCTCTTTGGTTGCAGGCAGTGCTTGTCAGTCCCCTGAGGAGCACGTGGCCCTTGGAAGCCATGTTCTCTACGAGTTCTCTAAGCGTTCTCTAAGCTTTCTAGGGCCCTGCACATCCTGCTGGTCTTTACACTCTTGGTCTAGAAGATTCGTGGTTACCAGAGGCAGGAGAGCACTCAGAGCATGGCCCAAATCTGGGTGCTGCTTGTCCTCTCACCAGGAGCACTGTGTCTCTGCTCCCATTCCCAGCCCTCTATCTCACACCCCATAGTGGCTCTGCAAAGGGTGAGCAGGTGGCAAGTGGGTGGTGAGTAGCCGCAAGCCAGCACCAGGCCAGCAGCACCCTCCTACCACTGGTGCTGGGAACCTGGCTGGGCAGGAGCATTTTTAGTGCCTCCTGCTCTTATCTCCCTCATACCAGGAGTGGAGGGGACGGGTGCCCTGTGCCTTTTCATTCCTGGAGCTTCCACGTGATGCTGGGCAGGGGATGCCAGATGTTTACTCTGCCTGTCTGGGTCCCTGCCTCCCTGCTCTCCTTACCCCAGCCCTTATCTTCAGACTCTTTTTTATGGTGTTTGTAAACAGTCTTGAAAGGCCCCACCAACACTCCCTGATCCCAAGCTCTGCCCACTATGGTGCAGACACTAAAACTGGGGGTCCTCTCAGCCAGGGACATGCTTAGCCTGAGAAACAGCTGCCCCGAGGCCAGGGACCCTGCCCCACATCTGGCTGTGCCATGGGACTGTGCTCCAGGCACTGTCATCATTTCCAGCCTGTCTCCTGAAGGAGAGGGCACATTTGGCCAGCAAGCCCTTCGGGCGCCCTGACCCCCACCCCAGAAGCTGCAGCTGCCTCTGCCTCCAGACCTTCATCTGGCAGTATGCAGTAGAGATGGGGGTGATCTTGTGCTGGCGGTGGTTGCCAATGGTGCCACACAGCCCGCAGATCACCTCTTGGTCAGCCTCACAGAAGAGGCTGAGGGGGTTGTGGTGTGTTGGGCAGGACTCCGGGCTCAGCTCTGCCTCGCACAGGCTCTGCAGTGCCTCGATGACACAGGCCAGTGTGACGTTGGGTGATAAGGCACTGCAGTCCACCATCTGGCGGCACACAGGGCACAGGAACTGCCCATCCAGCTCCCCAGAGAGTGACACCACGCAGGACTTGCAGTACGAATGCCCACACTGCAGCATCAGGGGCTCTTTGAAGACCTCCAAGCAGATGGGACAGAGTAGCTGGTCCTCCAGCTCATTGATGCTCATCCTCCGAGCCATCCTACCACCTTCCCACACAGCAGCACAGACCTGGCCTGGGAAACACAGCTGGGAGATCAGTCCTGTTCCAAGAGCAAGATAAGCAGAGATGAGTGAAGATGCAGCTTAGCAGCTGGGGAAGGCAAAACAGAGACATCTCCAGCCCACCAGCAGCAGTACAGACAGTTGCAAACTCATCATTAGGCTCCCCCTCTGCTGCTCTCTGGAGGCATTGGTAGATTAGATATTAGGAAAAAATTCTTCCCTGTGAGGGTGCTGAGGCGCTGGCACAGGGTGCCCAGAGAAGCTGTGGCTGCCCCATCCCTGGCAGTGCTCAAGGCCAGGTTGGACACAGGGGCTTGGAGCAAGCTGCTCTAGTGGAAGGTGTCCCTGCCTGTGGCAGGGGTTGGAGCTGGATGAGCTTTAAGGTCCCTTCCAACCGAAACCAGTCTGGGGTTCTATGATACAAAGCCTGAGACACAGCATGCAGCTGTAACTGCAACTCACCCCCTTGAAACGTGGTGTGGTCTCTGGTCCCCATAGCACTCCATGCCCTGGGCCAGCACCCCCAAGAGACAGAAGCCCAAATCCCAGCCTCTCCCACCAGCCCAGGGCTGCCTGTGGCCCAGCCTGTTCGACAGCTCTAATGCTGTGCAACTCTGCCTCCCTTGCTGCTCCCAGAGCTGTGAGTGTAACTGCCCAGATCCTTGGGCAAGTCAAAGACATGACCTGAAGTTGAAGAAAATAAACACGCAGCCAGAGGCTCAGTAGCTTTCCCAGGGAAAGGGGAGGCTGTGACCTGAGCTTGGCTTTTATCACACATCGCTATAGGAGCTTGGTGAATCAATGAAAGCCTGTGACCCATGAGACACCATAAAACCCCATATGGGGAAACCAGCTTCAGCTGCTCCCTCCACTCACACATACACATCCCAGAAACCCAAATAACAGCCTCCCACTCACATGCACTGCGTGGCTTCCTCCTGGCCCTGGCTCGGTGCACTGAGCCCGATGGATGTCCCTTTTCTTCCCAGTCAAGCCGAAGAGTTTGACCTGGTTGGAGAGGCAGCGAGGCAGGTGGTGGGACCGGCAGGCCCTTGGTGAGACACGGAGCAGAGCCACTGCTCTCTTGCAGCCTCAGCCCTGCCAGGGATGTCCCTGCTCACTGGGGAGAGCCCAGGCAGCCTCTTGTCCCCTCTCCCACTCCAAGGGTGGTGTCACACCCCCCGGGAGGGCTGCTCTCCGCCCCTGCCACGCAGCTATGGGCACACACATCAGATGATTGGGCAGGCACGAGCCTTGATAAGAGGTGGTGGTGTTTGCCTCCCGGAGCAGCCAGCCTCCCGGAGCCCCACCACGTTTCACTCATACGTGCCACTGGGGACAATAGAAACTTTTTCACTAGAACACTTTCTTATCAACTAAAGCTCTTTTTCTGCTTGAAACACCACTTTTATTGTTTGGTGAAAACCTTTGATTGCTTTGGAAAAGATCAGAAGGAAACCTCAAGTGCAGCTCCCCCAGTGTAGGGCAAGGCACACGTCTACTGTGCAAAAAATGCTTCCTCACGCAATTATTCCTGGTTCACATGATGTGTCTGGCTTGCAGGCACCCTGGTGGGTCCCTCCCTGCATCACCCAGGGGAAGCTGGGGACAAGGAACCCTTCTCAGCCCAGAGGGCCCAGCTTTGGGGCAACCTCCAGAGGCTGTGTGGTGTGGAACCGGAGGCAATGGCTCAGGATTAGCCTGGGGCTCCCACCTTGGCCGCTGGTGTTGGGTCAATCAGGAGGGTGCATCTCTCACTCCCCAGAGGGAGCTGGCAGCTGGGGGCAGCTTCTGCTGCGCTGCTGCGCTCTGGGGAGCCCCTCTGCAGCCCTGATCCAGCTCTGGGGCAGCAGCACAAGAGGGACATGGAGCTGTGGGAGCGAGGCCAGAGGAGGCCACGGAGATGCTGCGAGGGCTGGAGCAGCTCTGCTCTGGAGCCAGGCTGAGAGAGCTGGGCTTGATGAGCGCCGAGGTTACAAAGGCCCGCACGGCTCTGACAGGCCGCGGGTACGTCCCGCACTCGCAGGGCACAGCTCAGGCCCCCGCTTCCCAGGCTCGGCTCAGGAGAACAGGCACGGCGCTGTTATCGGCGCCGCAGCACACGGCCCCGGCCCGGCCCGGCCCCGCGGGACCACCCGGCTCTCCCGGAGGGGCAGTGCCCGGAAAAGGCCGCTCCCCCCCCCGCAGCCCCGCGAGGCTCAGCCCGGACACTCGGCCGGGCCTGGGGAGGAGGCCGCGCCCCGCCCCAGTGCGTCCCTCAGCGTGCACCGCGGCTGCCCATTGGCTGAGAGCAGCGCAGGGGCGTGTCCCTGCCCGAGGCACGTGAACGCGGGGCGTCTTAAGCCGCGTCTGGGGATGCGTGCGCTGCTCGGAGCGCGATTGGCGGGAGAGCCCGAGAGCCGCGGGCGGTGATTGGTCGGAGAGCGCCGCGGGGGGTGATTGGTGGGAGACCGCCGCGAGCTGCGGGCGGTGATTGGTGGGAAGGCGCAGGGCGCTGTGGCGATGGCGGGCAGCAGTGGTGGCGGGCGCGTCCCGCGGCTGGCGGGACATGACGGGCCTGCGGGTGAGGCCCGGCCCCGGCCCCGGCCCCGGCCCCGGCCACAGTGGAGGCTTCCCCCAGAAGGGGGGGCCCCGCCCGTGTACCCGTTCCAGAGCTTGGTGCGGTCCCGGTGCCTGCAGGACCTGAGCGGCGACGGAGGGGTGCGCAAGCAGGAGCTGCGCCCCGGCACTGGGCAGGCCATGCCCCCCAATGCCTCCGTGGCAGGTACTGCTGGGGCTGCAGGGCCAGTGGTGCTGCTGGCTGAGGTGTGGTTGGGAACCTCCTGCAGCAGCCGCCGGTTCTGGCATCTCTTTCTCGGGGCTGTGTGTGGTCTGCTGTGTGCCTCCAGCCACCGTCCTGTGGTGGGTGCTGCATGAAACCCTGGCCTGGCTCCCCTTGGGGTCTGGTGTGTTCTGCAGCAATGCTGTACCTTGTTTGATGGACACAAGCTGGTAGGCTCCAGTGCCCGTCTCTTGAGCAGCTTGCTTTATAAATGGCAATTGTCGAATTTAATCTGCGGCTAGCAGGACTCAGGAAACCTGGAATCCTCAGAGGCACAGAGTGAAGTCAGGGTCTCATGCTCATCTCTGTCATCTACATTAGTGCAAGGTCCTTGCTTTGGGCTGTATGGCTGGTGTGATGTGTCTGCTGGGGGAAATGGAGCGAACACAGTCTTCTTGTAAAGGATCCCATGAGCTTCTAATGGGAGGTGCTTGTGGCTGGCAAATCTCAGCACTCTGGATTTTAGTGTGAGGTCAGAACAAGAATTTAAAAGTGCTTGTGTTACACAGTATGTCTTTCTCTTTCAGAGACTGCCTGCTTTCCATAGCAGTATTCTAGCACTTGAGATACTCTGTTTAACTTCTTGTGGGTGACATTAAATGAAAGGGCATCTTGACCTTGAGAATAGCAGGGTTTACGGGTCCCGCCTGTGCTCACAGTAGAGAGAAGAACTTTGAAGCTGAAAGTTCCTTAAGTGCAAAGGCCGGTGCTGTATCAAGGGAATTGTAGACTCATAGACTGGTTTGGGTTGGCAGGGACCTTAAAACTCATCCAGTTCCACCTCCCTGCCATGGACAGGGACACCTTCCTCTAGAGCAGGTTGCTCAGACTCCATCCAGCCTGTCCTGAACACTGCCAGGCTCATTACAGTTCTCTTCCTAACTGGGTGAGAGCTGGCATTACACACACAGCACTCAGGAGAATGGCAGGGCTCAGAGGGTTGCCTTGTACTTATTGCCTTTGTTTCTTTTCCCAGGCCTTCAGCTTTGGTTAGAAGAGGGTTTGTTACATATTTTTTGCATATAAAATTGGGGCATTTTGATTTCTAAAGCTGAAGTTTCCAATTCTTTAAAACACAAAATCACATCTTTTAATTGCATAGGAATCAGGACTGTAAAGCAGCTGCCTTACCTGCTGATGGTGCTGAAACAGTCAACTTGGCTGCTTGGATGTGATCAGGTATTTGATATAAAACACAAGGTGGTTTGTGCCACCTCTACTGTTCTACAGTAGAAGTGAAAAAGAAAAGCAGGATAAAATGGTGGCGTTGCAGATCTGACTCCTGATGCTGCTTTTGCTGGAGATGAAATCAAACTCTTGCTTTTTTCCTCACTTGTTGATTTGGGCCTCACAGTGAAGTTCTCTGGATACCTGGAACACCAGGATAAGCCCTTCTGCACAAACTGCTCCAGCAAGTCTCCTGGGCTAATGAAACTTGGGAAAGGTAAGTTTGAGGCAAAAAGTTTGTCTTGCGACTCAGAATTGTAAAGACCAGCCCCTTAAGACATGTTGTTAAATGCTCTTTAGTGTTTTGGGGTTATTTGAAGCTTTTAAATCTTGTTAATGGAGTCTAAAAGCCTCCTGCTTCACATGGGTGATGGTCAATCTGGAACTGATCACCCTCTGGCCCTCTTGACTCTTGGTGGTATGGGGGTGCCCTGAGGCAGCTGCTCCTCTCCTGGTGTTCTTCGATCACTGAAGAGGAGACATTGTATTGAGTGTGTGCTTGGTCCCACCACAGGCTGCCTTACAGGAGGCAGTTGGCCATCGTAGCTGCTGAGATATGAGCTACCAAGGATTTCTTCCTCCAGGCTTTGGAGAAATCACTTGGTGTCAGAGGCGGGTTCTGTGTTTGTGATTCTCATGACCTTCCATGTCTTGCTGAGACAGACATTACGCTTTTGGGCTTGGAAGTTGGCCTGCTGACGATGAAGAAGGGAGAGTTGTCAAGGTTTGTCTTCACACCGGATTATGCCTATGGGCGGCAAGGCTGTCCTCCGCTCATTCCCCCAAGTGCCACGGTCATCTTTGAAGTGGAGGTCCTGGACTTTCTAGACTCGGCTGAATCTGACGCATTCTTTGAGTTGCCTGCTGTGAGTTGCTGTAATAAGGTTTGAAACCTGAACCTGGCGGCTAAACCTTTGTTGTCTGTTGTCTCCTTCCACTTTCTGAGGCACGTGCATTACATATGTTTAGCTTGCAGACACGTGCTTGCTAACGCTGCCCCTGCTCACCTCCCCCTGTTTGTGCAGAGGGAGAAGCTGGGTGCTGCCTTTGTTTGTTCCTGCGTGCTGGAGTCAGGCTTCCATTCCATGGTTCTAGGATTTATTTTTAGCTTTACAAGAAACCTCCTGGTTGCACTAGAGGGCACCAGCTCCCAGGGATTTCCCCGAAGGAACAGTAAGGAGCTATCTATACAAACCCTGTGCCGATGGCAGTGTCCGAGTGCCTCCCCCAGCTCCCGCCCTTTGTCCCTGCGTCTTGGCTGCCTTCCCAAGTGCTCCTTCACTGTTTGCTTTCCTCCCCGGTGAGTTATAGTGCTATTGTTAATTGCCCCTTTTCGTGTAAAGGGTTTTGGGCTGTGGCTGTGGGGTGCCCGGGCGGGGGGGAGGCTGCCTCCTCCTCCCCTCCTGCTGCTGCACAGGCCATTTTTTCGACACAGAGCCCTGCAAACAAACCACACGTGTTGCAGGAGAGCTCCCCCCCAAGTTGCCCACCCTCTCTGGTTAACTGGCCTGTCTGAGTGGTTCAAACTTGCAAACCCAGGAGAAAACCTGGCATGAATTTTATCCTGTATTATTGATGTTTTGGTTTTGACACAATGCTATGTCAGCCAGGTCTTGGAGCTGGCCTGAGGCAGCAGCCTGGGGGTGATGCAGAGCCATTAGAGCAATGCAGCCTTTCACAGCTTCAGCAGTACTGTTTAACTGTGTGCTCTATGCTGAGCAGGTGAGAGTTGGGCAGGATTTAAGAATGCATTCCTGCTTCTTTCAGCCCACCCCCCACCCCGAGTCACCCTTCACCAGCGCAAGAGCAGGAGCCCGTTTCAGCCTGGAGAAGGGAAATGCCACACAGAGGTGGCCTGGCTGGACTCTGCTGGGGCCTTGGCGATGGCCTGGCTCCTGCTTTGTGAACTGAAAGGGACCGTGCAGGACTGGCCTGCCTGAGCTCTCTGCTCTTTTGTTTGAGCTGAAACTCGGGTGTTTCTTTACACAGGAGCAGCAGGCGGCATTTCCGCTACAAAAGGTGTTGAAAGTGGCAGACACGGAGAGACAGTTTGGCAACTACCTCTACCGCAAGAGGCACTTGGACGATGCCAAAGACAGATACAAAAAGGTATGACACAAGAAAAAAAAACGTGCTTTCTATTGTAAAAAGCTGTGAAAGTGGTGATTGTGTAATGCTAGCTCACCATAAAAAGTACAATTTAGAAATCACATAATAGAATTGTAGCATCATTCTGTCGTCAAATGGCTTCATTCTATTTTCCAGGGTAGTTTGTTATTTAAGAACAGATCTCAGACACCTGCTTTTGTGTGAGCAGCAGAGGTAAATGAAGGAGAAGGGGTGGGAGAAACAGGCTGAGCCCTTTCCCTTCAGGCTTGCTCCCTGTGGGCTCTAGCCGGGAAGGGTGTGTCTTGGCTGTGAGCCCTGTGTGGTTGCGTAGCTGACTGCTGAGTTAAAGCGTTTCAGGGCAGCTTTGGCTGGGAGACCTCATTGTGCAGCTCAGCCTCGTGTTGCAGCAGCGTTCTGATTAATGCTTTAAGAAGGAATCTAGAATCCCTTTGTCTGGAAGCAGACATCACTGACCCACTGTGCACTCAAACTTTATTTTTAGCCTTCCTGTTGGGAATCGCAGCACCGTTGAGGCTGGTGGGGGCCTCTGGATGCTGCCTAGTCCAGCACTCTGCCGAAGTAAGGGCAGCCACAGCTGGATGGTGCCCAGAACTGTGTCC